GGACCAGCTTGAGAGTCACTGGACCTCTGTTGCACAAGATATCTGTCCATAGAGGTCTGTTTCTGGTATCTTTATATGATTTCCTTGAAGTGGGACAAGGGTTTGTCACTAAACACGTTGCAGATATGGCTTGTTTTAGCTTGGTCAGGGTGGTACTTCTCAACAAAAGATTACACATCATTCTACTTTGCACAAATTTCCTAATCAATGAAGAAGGCACCTCCTTCACTCCCTCTTCCTCCTCCTCTGAAGCAAGTCACCTCCTTCACTCCCTCTTCCTCCTCCTCTGAAGCAAGTCACCTCCTTCACTCCCTCTTCCTCCTCCTCTGAAGCAAGTTCCTCAGCTGTGGCCTGTTGCTGTTGCAGATGAAGCTCTTGCAGCTCGTCAGTGGTTAGCTCTTCCCTGTGGTCCTCCACCAACTCTTCTACATCCTGGTCATTCACCTCCAACCCCATGGACTTGCCCAATGCCACAATAGAGTCCACAACAAGCAGAGGGTCAGGGTCAGCCCAAACCCTTCAAAATCCCTTTTGGATGCAATCTGGCCACAATTTTCTCCAAACAGAGTTCAGTCCTGGAAATCACTCCCTCCCAAGCCTTACCTATAAAACTTATGCAATTAAGGATATGAAGTGATTCTTCCAAAACTCTCCTAGGGTCAATTGAGTGTCCGAAGTCATTTCAAAACACTTTTGAAACACTGCTTTTGTGTTGAGTTTTTTGAAGTTAGAAATGACCTGCTGGTCCACGGGCTGGAGGAGAGGAGTGGTGTTTGGAGGCAAGAACTTCACTGTGATGCAACTGAAGTCCCTAAACACTAGGTCTTCCAAGTCTGGAGGATGTGCAAGAGCATTGTCCAGTACCAGGAGGCACTTGAGTGGCAATTTCTTTTCCAGGAGGTATTTTTTCACACATGGGCCAAACACATCATTAACCCACTCTTTGAAAATTTGTTTTGTGACCCATGCCTTGTACATCACACACAATCTATTTTTTATGACATTGTTCTTCTTGAACACTCTGGGATTTTCAGAGTGATACACCAGTAAAGGCTTCACTCTGAAATCCCCACTAGCATTAGCATACAACAAGAGAGTTAGCCTGTCTGTCATAGGCTTGTGTCCTGGCAGTGATTTTTCCTCCTGAGTAATGTAGGTCCTCTTTGACATTTTCTTCACAATTGTACACTTGTTGGGATTTGAATCCTTTAGCCTTAATTTTATTATTTTTTTATTATTATCACACTGGCCGATTCCCACCAAGGCAGGGTGGCCCGAAAAAGAAAAACTTTCACCATCATTCACTCCATCACTGTCTTGCCAGAAGGGTGCTTTACACTACAGTTTTCAAACTGCAACATTAACACCCCTCCTTCAGAGTGCAGGCACTGTACTTCCCATCTCCAGGACTCAAGTCCGGCCTGCCGGTTTCCCTGAACCCCTTCATAAATGTTACTTTGCTCACACTCCAACAGCACGTCAAGTATTAAAAACCATTTGTCTCCATTCACTCCTATCAAACACGCTCATGCATACCTGCTGGAAGTCCAAGCCCCTCGCACACAAAACCTCCTTTACCCCCTCTCTTCAACCTTTCCTAGGCCGACCCCTACCCCGCCTTCCTTCCACTACAGACTGATACACTCTTGAAGTCATTCTGTTTCGCTCCATTCTCTCTACATGTCCGAACCACCTCAACAACCCTTCCTCAGCCCTCTGGACAACAGTTTTGGTAATCCCGCACCTCCTCCTAACTTCCAAACTACGAATTCTCTGCATTATATTCACACCACACATTGCCCTCAGACATGACATCTCCACTGCCTCCAGCCTTCTCCTCGCTGCAACATTCATCACCCATGCTTCACACCCATATAAGAGCGTTGGTAAAACTATACTCTCATACATTCCCCTCTTTGCCTCCAAGGACAAAGTTCTTTGTCTCCACAGACTCCTAAGTGCACCACTCACTCTTTTTCCCTCATCAATTCTATGATTCACCTCATCTTTCATAGACCCATCCGCTGACACGTCCACTCCCAAATATCTGAATACATTCACCTCCTCCATACTCTCTCCCTTCAATCTGATATTCAATCTTTCATCTCCTAATCTTTTTGTTATCCTCATAACCTTACTCTTTCCTGTATTCACCTTTAATTTTCTTCTTTTGCACACCCTACCAAATTCATCCACCAATCTCCGCAACTTCTCTTCAGAATCTCCCAAGAGCACAGTGTCATCAGCAAAGAGCAGCTGTGACAACTCCCACTTTGTGTGTGATTCTTTATCTTTTAACTCCACGCCTCTTGCCAAGACCCTCGCATTTACTTCTCTTACAACCCCATATATAAATATATTAAACAACCACGGTGACATCACACATCCTTGTCTAAGGCCTACTTTTACTGGGAAATAATTTCCCTCTTTCCTACATACTCTAACTTGAGCCTCACTATCCTCGTAAAAACTCTTCACTGCTTTCAGTAACCTACCTCCTACACCATACACTTGCAACATCTGCCACATTGCCCCCCTATCCACCCTGTCATACGCCTTTTCCAAATCCATAAATGCCACAAAGACCTCTTTAGCCTTATCTAAATACTGTTCACTTATATGTTTCACTGTAAACACCTGGTCCACACACCCCCTACCTTTCCTAAAGCCTCCTTGTTCATCTGCTATCCTATTCTCCGTCTTACTCTTAATTCTTTCAATTAATAACTCTACCATACACTTTACCAGGTATACTCAGCAGACTTATCCCCCTATAATTTTTGCACTCTCTTTTATCCCCTTTGCCTTTATACAAAGGAACTATGCATGCTCTCTGCCAATCCCTAGGTACCTTACCCTCTTCCATACATTTATTAAATAATTGCACCAACCACTCCAAAACTATATCCCCACCTGCTTTTAACATTTCTATCTTTATCCCATCAATCCCGGCTGCCTTACCCCCTTTCATTTTACCTACTGCCTCACGAACTTCCCCCACACTCACAACTGGCTCTTCCTCACTCCTACAAGATGTTATTCCTCCTTGCCCTATACACGAAATCACAGCTTCCCTATCTTCATCAACATTTAACAATTCCTCAAAATATTCCCTCCATCTTCCCAATACCTCTAACTCTCCATTTAATAACTCTCCTCTAATGTACCCATTAAATTCTGCTACAAAGTCTTCAGCCGCTTTTTTGTCAGAATTTGGAGCCTCACCATGCCTTACCACACTGTGTATGCCAATACGCTTCTTAACCCTTTCAGGGTCCAAGGCCCAAATCTGGAGTCACGCACCAGTGTCCAAGAATTTTCAAAAAAAAAAAATTGTTATTTTTTCTTATGAAATCGTAGAGAATCTTTTTGTGAAGGTAATAAAACAAAAAGTACGAAATTTGGTGGAAAATTGACGAAATTATGCTCTCGCGAATTTTGATGTGTCAGCAATATTTACGAATCAGCGATTTTGCCGACTTTGACTCCCATTTTAGGCCAATTACATTATTCCAATCAACCAAATTCTTAGCTATTTCACTAGTATTACTTCTATTCTATCGATTGAGCACAAGAAATAGCCAAGTCAACTGTTTCAACTACAAAATAAAGTGATCGGAAATTGTTAATTTGGCCAATTTAACACAAAGTTCAAAATATTCCAATTTCAAAATAGGGTCCAGAATAAACAATGTAGGCATTCCTGGCACTAAACTAACATTTCCTCTGTTCATTAGTTATGTTTTGAGGCTTTACAAATAAATTCCATTTTGATTTTTTATTCACATAATGAATTTTTATTCACACCAAAAAATAGAAGATTTACTGTTATGCAATACTGTAATAATTGTATAAATATCATCACCATATTTGTGAATGTATATTAGACCCACCAGCTGACATGTATTAGATGTGCAAAAAATTAACATTTCCGCTACTTTGAGCTCAGTTTCAAGCCATTTCCAGTGCTAAAACCAATCAAAATCATCTCTATTTCTGTATTATGTCTTCCATTCTATCAAATGAGACCAAGAAATCGCAAATACAACTATAAAAAACATACGAAAAAACACTGCAAAGTTGCTATTTTAATCGAAAAATCATGATTTCATTTTTTTTCTCTCATTATACACAGTGTGCTGCAGGATCTGTTTTATGTGGTGCACACATACCACATAGATGTATTCTCTCATATCTAGGCCCAAATGTACCACTCACAGTTTATCAGAGTGAGCTGAGCTCATGGCGTAGATCTACGGTTTGGACACTCACCGTAAAGCCTTAGATCTACGGGACGGACCCTGAAAGGGTTAAATCTCTCAAACCAGCCTTTGCTGGTCTTAAATTCACTAACAGCACCACTTGTTCCAGGAGTTTTCTTCACAAGATCCTTGTGCAACTGCCTTGCCTTCTCACAAATAATCGACTCCACAACACTGTCTCCCACTAAATGGTTTCCTTAATCCACAATAACATAACTTTTCCATATCTTCCATTATTGGTGACCTTTGTTTTGTAATCACATTTACTACTTTCGCAACATAAGCTTCCTTGATTTGTTCTTTCTTTGCCAGAATGGAAGTGATGGTAAATTTATTTTTCCCATACATCCTGGTAAGTTCCAGCACTCTCACACCACTCTCAAATTTTTCAGTAATTTCTCGCTTAAATTCCATGGTGTTTCTCACTTTCTTTGCCACTGGAACTTTACTAGGAACTTTCTTTGGACCCATGGTTACTTATTTCGCAGTTACACTGACAAAAAACCACCATAAACAATGAAAAACAAGAGAAATGTTTGGATGAATCAGCAGAAGCTTCCTCATGAACTGAGAGACACAGCCAAACTGACGTGCAAGCTGGCACAGCCAGCGAGGGACACTTCCAATACAGCCGATAACTGGTAGCTGAGAAACCGGCCTACAACCGAGTTGGTCGATAACAGGAACAGCCGATAACTGGGGGTCTACTGTACAAGGTATAATGAGAACACTACTCACTTGGCCTCCCATTCTGTGAGTTCACGTTCATACTGGTCTCGTTCTTTTCTAGCCTTCTCGAGGAACACCTTTTTCTCATCTTCAGGCAAACTCTGCCATCTGCGGCCAGCTTCTAATGAAAATTCCTAAAAAAAAAAAAAAAAAAAATTGGTGAGCTGTAGATGTGTTAGTTAATACACCTACCATCCGACTTACGACCGAGTTTGGTTCCGAGAAATCGGTCGTAAGTCGAAATGGTCGTAAGTCGAACTTTACTACTGAATATCAACATCACATTTTTGTAATGACTTTATTTTATTGTTTTACTTTGGTATTTCATGTTTTACTTTACTTTTTATGCTGTTAGTACTGTATTTTATACTGTAAGGTTTAGGATAAAAACTTTGTACAACACAAATAGTTGTTTATGTCCCAGAAATTTGGCAAAAAAAACACGGTCGTAAGTCGAGTGGTCGTAAGTCGAGCAGGTCGTAAGTCGGATGGTAGGTGTACTTTATTTCTCATTTATACATTACTTAACTTGGGTCACACCTATGTAATAATGGTTACACACATACTTAGATGGTAATTCTCTAGGTTAACCCTGTCACTGTGAATTGTGTAGGTCTATATGACAAGGGACAGTGTCACTCACATAGATCTACATATAAATCACAATGATGTGAGTGGCAAATCTTAGCCTAGTTATGAGAGAATGGGTGTGCATGATGGGTGTAACCTTATCAACTCAGTGTTCTTGGCCCTTTGCTCTTTTTCATTTACATCAATGCTCTCCCCAATGCATCTCATCTCTTTGAACCTGTCCTGTTCATAGATGACATGACTTATGTCTTATCCCACACAAATCCGACCACCCTCAGCGACACTATTAACCCTCTGAGGGTCCGTCCCATAGTTCTACAGTTTTGAAGCCAGGGTCCAAGCCGTGATTCTACACTCTGAGCTCAGCTTACTCAGGTAAGCTGTGAGTGGTAAATTTGGCCATCCTCCACCATAGGATGGTGGAGGATGACAATGATGAGCTAACCATACAGAGCTGCAAGACCTTCATCTGCAATATCAACAGATCACAGCTCAGGAATTTCCTTCAGAGGAGGAGGAGGAGGAGGAGGAGGAGGAGGAGGAGGAGGAGGAAGAGGAAGAGGAAGAGGAAGAGGGATGGAGGAAGTTGCTGTCTTCAAAGATTAAGGACATTTGTGCAAAGTGGATTGAAGTGCAAACCTTTATGGATGAACATCATCCTGACACAGTAGTTGCAGGCCATGCTGGCAACATCTACAATGACAATGTTGTGTCCCATTTTAGGGAATTCTTAAAGAAATGCCAGAAACAGAGCTCTCTGGACAGATTTTTGGTGTGACAGGGGTCCAGTGATTCTCAAGTTGGTCCTAGTGCCATTAAAAAACAAAGGAATTAACCCCTGAAAAGGGCTTGCTACCTGAAGTCTTTATGGAAGGGGATTCCCCTTCCAAACAATTGTAAACTCCTCCATCCTCTCCCCTCCTCCTGTCTCATCACTCATCAATAAGTCTTCAATAAAGGTAAGTGTCATTTTAGTACTGTTTATTCTGCATGTCTCATTGTTTTCTGTGTAGGAAAATGTATATTTCATGTGAAAAAAATATTCTGTTTAATACTTTTGGGTGTCTGGAACGGATTAACTGGATTTCCATTATTTCTTAAGGGAAAATTAATTTGGATTATGACAGATTTGGTTAAGACACACTCTCTGGAACGGATTAATGTCATAATCCAGGGGTCCACTGTATAGGAAAAATCATTGATTTTGATGATGTGATAGATGATTTTGCAGGACTGAAGGCAAGGAAATGTAAGATCAGATTCACTGAGATGTTACCTGTACTCAAGGTCAAATTGAAACTAGTGTTTCTCTGATACTACGATGTTTTCCTTTATTTTTCAAGCATTTTTCTGCATTGTTGAATAAATGTAGGATCTGTTGCCTGTACTCAAAGTGGTATTTGAGTTTATATTTCCTCAGTATTACTACGATTATTTATTCTATCATTAAGAAAGTTAAGAAGTATTCTCCTGTTCGATATATGGCCCTTAAACGTTCTCATTACTAAACATTAGTCATGGTCATGCAGTAGTGACATAACTGGAATTTATTCCCCCAGTCCCCCCACCATTGGATTTCATGGGGCTGACACCAAAGATGCCACCCCGGGTGGCACCAAATACGTATTCCGCTCCTGGTGACACCATACCCTAGCTATACCACCATGCTACTACCACGGATCGGTAGTACCTCCTGGTGGTTGCTGTCTGCAAAACCTACTACCACAAGATGGTTAGTACCTCCTGGTGGGTTGCTCTCTGCCAACCTACTTCCACAAGACGGTAGTACCTCCCTGGTTGTTCTAGTCTACAAACCTACTACAACAAGATGGAAGGGCTCCCCTGGTGGTTGCTGTGTACCAACCTACTACCACAAGATTGTAGAACCTCCCTTGGGTGGTCGCTGTCTACCAACCTACTACCACAAGATGGTAATACCTCCCTGGGTGGTTGCTGTCTACCAACCTACTGCCACAGGACAGTGGTACCTCCCTGGTTGGTTGCAGTTACCAAAACCTAATACTACAGGATGTAGCACCTCCTGGTGGATGTTGGTCTACCAACCTATACCACAGGATGGAAGTAACTACCTGGGGTTGCTGTCTACCAACCTATACCACAGGATGGAAGTAACCTCCCTGGTGGTTTGCTCGTTTACCAACTACTTCCCAGGAGTGTTGTACTCCTTGGGTGGTTTTGCTGTCTACCAACCTACTACCCACAAGATGGTAGTCCTCCCTGGGTGGTTGCTGCCTACCAACCTACTACCACAGGATGGTGGTACCTCCCTGGGAGGTTGCTGTCTACCAACCTACTACTACAGGATGGTAGTACCTCCCTGGTGGATGCTGTCTACAAACCTACTACCTCAGGATGATTGTACTCCTGGTGGTTCCCCCCAAGGGAGGTTCCTTGATGCTGGTGAGGGACTCTTGATCTAGGGAATTGGATCTATGCTCCAGTTCCCTGAATTGAGCCTGAATACCTTCCATCCCCCCACATGTGCTGTATAATCCTAGGGGTTTAGTGTTCCCCCATGATTATAATAATAATGTTAAAATTCTCTTATAATCATACTTTTTTTTTCCCCTTTTCTCCCAAACTACAAATAACGAACTTCTAGCTAGTATCAACTACCTCAAATAATATTCCTATAGTGATATTAATTGCTCAAACTTTATGCTATAAGGCAAATCCTACTCTTAGATTATTCTTCATATTTTAGTGACTATATTGTGTGTGCAATTAGTGTACATTCCAATTACATTATTGTTCAAGTGCCAAAACTTTCTTTTGCTAGCTAGTACCAACTACCTCATATTATTTTTACTTTTTATAGTACAATAAATTGCTTAACTTATTATATTACAAATCAGATCTTACTCCCAATCAATATTTATATCATAGTGACTTATCTGTCCAATTTTAACTTTGTTTACCTTTACAGCGGTCCCTCAATTATCGTCCTTAATCCGTTCCTGGAAGTGGGACTATTATCGAAATAGACGATTTTCGAATCAATTTTCCCCATAAGAAATAATGTAAATCCAATTAATTCGTTCCAGACACCCAGAAGTATCAACAACCATTTTTTTTTTTTACCTAAAAGATAGATTTACATGCACAAAAGAATGAACATTCAACATGACAGTTACCTTTATGGAAGGCTGCTGTTGCATGAATTGGATGACGGGAGGAGTGAGTGGGAAAGAGAGGAAGAGAGGTTACTGTTTGGAAGGGGAATCCCCCTCCATAAGAACATAAGAATGGAGGAACACTGCAGAAGGCCTACTGGCCCATGCGAGGCAGATCCTTATCAAAACGACCTCTACCTTAAGCTACCCAAGAAATAACTCCCGTACCCAATGGCACCAATCAAACCCAGCCCCTCCCACTCATATATTTGTCCAGTCTCTTCTTAAAGCTACCCAAGGTCCTAGCCTCTATCACCCCACTGGGAAGACTGTTCCACACATCTACAACTCTGTTAGAAAACCAATACTTACCTATGTCCTTTCTACATCTAAATTTATCCAACTTAAATCCATTATTTCTGGGTCTTACCTGGTTCGACACCCTCAGTACTTTATTAATTCTCCTTGTTCATGGCCCGTCATCACTATACATTCGATGATATCTCCCCTCATTCTACGCCTCTCCAGAGAGTGGAGATTTAAGGCTTTAAGGATTTAAGGATTTAAGGATTTAAGGTAGGGGGTGTGTGGACCAGGTGTTTACAGTGAAACATATAAGTGAACAGTATTTAGATAAGGCTAAAGAGGTCTTTGTGGCATTTATGGATTTGGAAAAGGCGTAATGACAGGGTGGACTAGGGGGGCAATGTGGCAGATGTTGCAAGTGTATGGTGTAGGAGGTAGGTTACTGAAAGCAGTAAAGAGTTTTTACGTGGATAGTGAGGCTTCATAGTTAGAGTCAAGTAGGAAAGGAGGGGATTTTTTTCCCAGTAAAAGTAGGCCTTAGCAAGGATGTGTGATGTCAACCGTGGTTGTTTAATATATTTATAGGATGGGTTGTAAGAGAAGTAAATGCGGGGTCTTGGCAAGAGGCGTGGAAGTTAAAAGATAAAGAATCAACTTCAAAGTGGAGTTGTCACGGATGCTCTTTTGATGATGACACTGTTGCTCTTGGGAGATTCTGAGAGAAGTTGCAGAGAATGGTGGAGTAATTTGGTAGGGTGTGCAAAAGAAGAAAATTAAAGGTGAAAACAGGAAAGAGTAAGGTTATGAGGATAACACAAAGATTAGGTGATGAAAGATTGAATATCAGATTGGAGGGAGAGAGATATTGGAGGAGTGTGAAGTAGGAGGTGATACGTTATTAGATTATGTGGGAGTGGACGTGTCAGGGATGGGGTCTATAAAAGATGAGGTGAATCATAAAATTGATGAGGGAAAAAAGAGTGAGTGGTGCACTTAGGAGTCTGTGGAGACAAAGAACTTTGTCCTTGGAGGCAAAGAGGGGAATGTATTGAGTATGTTTTACCAACGCTCTTATATGGGTGTGAAGCGTGGGGTGAAGTGTT